CCCCAAAACCCCAAAACCCCAAAACCCCAAAACCCCGAAATAGCCGCAGGAATAGGAATAGTAGGAATATTATATTTAGAAAATGAGTACGAAGAAGAGGGAAAGGAAGATGAACAAGAAGAAAGATACCCTTAGTCTTAAGGAGAGGTCTAAGATACATAGGGAGAGGAAGAAGAAGTATTACCAAGATCTCGAAGAAAAGGTCAAAATCCTTGAAGAAGAAAACAGGAAATTAAAGGCTAAAATAATCTTTCTGAGCCAACAAGCTCCAGCCAGAATATAGAAGAGCTAGAAGTGCTAGAATCAAAAGATAAAAATAATGAGGCTGATGTATCACTTAATAGGGAAGAAAATTTTGTGCACCAGATACTTCCCGATATGATCAAGAAGAAACCCCATGATTTCAGAATGTCCCTGTTTGAGAACTTACGCGATAATCAAGGTGCATATGGGTCTGAGAGAATTAAGCTGCTTAAGAACTCTTTTAGTAAGATTATTGAATGCTGAGTCCCCATGACATTCAAGCTTTTGTTATGTGCTTTTACCTATACAGGAGGGCCAAAATTAATCACAATTTTGCGAGATAAGCGTAAGAACAACAGATCTTCATATAAATATTATAAATCAACTGTTGATGTGAAGTCAAAGGAGGAGAAAAAAGCTGATCCTTCGTCTGCAGAATTGCCACCCCACCTGCTATCATACTGAAACAAAGGTCTAATACATGAACTTCCAGAACATCTAGCTAAGCTGAATACGAGGGTGAGGATTGAAGAAGCTTTTTATCGTTACCCTTTCTCACAAGGAGTTATTGACTGCTGGTCAAAGAACGGAATCCCTACTAGAGACTATCTATTTGAGATAAGAGACTGCATACAAGACCTCGTCAAGATCAGGAATAAGATGCTAAATTGACTTAAAGTAAGCCAAAAAAATCATTTTAACCATTGATTTGCCATTCTTATCATTTTTATATCGAAAGTTCATAGTCCATTATTCAAACATAAATCCTCTTCGTCAGTATTCCTTTTCTCCAGTATTCCCCCTTAATGATCAATTTCCCAATTAAATTATCTTAAATCCGCCTGCTACCCACAAATCTCCCACCCAATCCCTTCAGCTTCTTTTCAGCTTCCAAATCTCTATGCCTAGTACAAATTCCCCGTATTATTCATTGGTCATTACTTTCCTTTCTATTTTTGTACAAATGGTCTAAATTGAATTTAGAACCTGCACAACGAGTTCTTCACGTCAGGGATGTACAAGAGTTTTACGAAGGACGATATCGTGGCTTTCTCGAAAATGGGAGCTGAGCTGAAGGGAAGTGACCTAGTTGATCCATTTACGCTCTATCAGGTAGGTTTTTTGGGGTGATGTGTAGTTGAGAAGGAGAGAAGAGGAGGAAGATGTGTACCAGGATGATGAGATTTCGTGGTTTGATAGCTAATTCAATTCCATTATAACTCCTAGGGGTTTTGGGGTTTTGGGGTTTTGGGGTTTTGGGG